CCTTCAGAGTTCGTTGCTCCGTATTAATGTTTTCAGTCGGCCATTGACACCCTACATGTGTTTACCTGAAAAATTTAATAATGAAGAAAAATTCGTACAACATTTCCAAAACATATAGAAAGTGTTACGAGAGATTTCAAGAGTAAAACACGTACTCGAAAAATGCCTAACTTTTAGGATAGCTCAACACTTTTCGAATACTCCAAAGATAAAAAATGATCAGGACATTATTCATCACAATGCTGAGTTATCTCAAACAGAAAAAATTTTACAGTTTAGATAAAATTTTTAAAATGAACTTTTGGCCGGCCATATCCGGCAAATATCCTCTGTGCATCAGACAATCACCATTCAGCTGTGGAAGATCATCGGACGCCATGGTGTGCCGAGAGAAACCTGGTAGGGATATCTAGTGGGGCTGATGACGTTGCAGTTATGAAGAGGCCGCCAATGTTGCAATTGTCCAATGTTCACTGTAATACATTTCAGTCTTTACTTCAATAGATGACAACACCAACAATTGATGATACAACAATTAAAATTGAAAGATGTGAAGGTAATTCACAGTACAGTCGCGACATGGCTTTCAAACCTTTTCCCATCATTGCTTGGCAATGTCAGAAAATTCACAGAAAGAAGAATAATACAATACAGGAAGCGATAGTCAATCTAGTTCTCAATCGAGAATTTCAATCCATGATTTCCAGATGAATAGATTATAACTTCTCGTAAAGTAATTTAACGAGTAACTTAAGTTTAGTCGTTGCGTGAGGTTCGTTCATCTTTGAACACCTATTTTCGATGAAAACCGACATTCGGAGGTGCAACCAATAACAAAAAGTCATTTTGACTTCACTAATAGAAAAATTCTGCATGTTTTGAAGTTCCTAGAAGTCGTCACAAACGTCCTTTTGTTGATTGACCAATCTACGTTATCTCCAACGTGCCGCATTACACTTAATGAATCACTGTTTTCGAGCATCTTCTGCTCAGCTACCTTTGTATCCTGAGTCACAACGATCAGTGTTCACCTCTAACAAATGGTCAGCTTCATCCTTTCCCTTCCACATTTCCACATAAACTTATCACTCCACATAAACATTGTACATTCTTGTATAAACGAATATACAACAACAACGTAACAACGAACATAAAAATTGGATCAAAATCAATTTCAACAATTTTATCTAAGCTGTAAAAGTTTCGACATCTGAGATAGTTGAAGTCGAGATAGTTTTTTATGATTATATTGATTATATTACGATTATATACGACTTGATGAGTTCCGGCCTTCTTTCAAACGATATACTTGGTAAAGATTTGTTTTTTCAATGTCAAAATGATTGGCGTAGAATTCATCCGAATTGACATTTTACCGCCAAATTTTATAGAAGTAAAAAATTTATATACTGTTACTTTCTAGAAGAATTCGATGATATTTAAAAGAAAATACTGTTCAGTTAAAAGTGGTCTAGTAAAGATTAGTGCCCAAATATTTTCTGTATGTTTGAAAACATGAACAAACTTAGAATGTTATGATGAATAAAAGTTTTCCTCATAAAAGACGTTCACCAGCTTAACAAATTAAAAACTGTTGGCGATTACTGGACCACATATATGAATGGGGATACTATATCAAGAAAGTCTTAGACGCAGACCAATATGAATGCACTTGTGACCTCTGATGAAGCTACTTATATAATTGCAATGATGGCGAAACATTGAGATAATTTCCTACAGGGCACGGCTTACACTCGAAAAGTTCAATTCACCGTGAAAAATCTGTACTTATAAAAGTTATTCGGTTTAAAGAGGATTATAGTGTGATAGTAATCATTCTTTCGTGACTATTAAGATCACTTTAAGTCTTTAAATGCTGAAATGAATGTTTGATTTTGCGATGTTATAGTTGACTTTAACACGAATTTCATCACCCGCTGCATTATGACTTTGAGTCTACAAATAATGTTAAAGTATATAGTTTTGTCCAGTTTTTTTGTTAGAAAAAGTCCATTGTGTGTCCTAATGTCGCGAAAATTTCTTCGATGCCGATAGTAATTAAAAAAAAATGTCCGTTCTCTGACATTCTACTGTTACAATCATATCGCGAATTCCTGCTATTGTTTACAACCACCGACTGATTCTAAGTTTCTGTCCTAGTTAAAATGCGAAGATAACAATAAGTGAATTCTTATTGACTGAAGATAATTAATTTTCCTACTTTAGAATTATATTGGAAGAAATAGTCAATATATTACTACTTATTTCGACACAGTTCACTAGCTGAGTTAACTATTGCTAATTATTATTGAGAAATATGTATAATCCAGAAGTTGTAATTGTTGTTGACATATCCGTGTACCCCTTTCGTAGTAGACTGTTTTTTCATCAATTCAATAAACATAGAATTCATAAATATAACGTCGAAATTAATAGACTATGTACAATGAAGAAATATCTATACAATATTTGTTCATGTAAAATGTGTAATGGGTAAGAAAAAATGATTTTTGATTTGCATACATCGAGTATTACAGGAAGGCAGTTATTTGATTCAGTATGGACTGAAAAAAAATGTATTACAACGAACAATTATTATAGTTGTATTCCATTTGTAAAATGTGTAACAGCTAGAAAAGTGCGATTTATCTAGCACATTACGTAAAAATATAAGGTATGTATCGATAATAATAAGAAATAAAAAACTGTAAATCGATGAACTCATTCCTCCGTAAGGAGATAACATTATCTACTATTTTAAAATAGTATGACAAATCTAATATATCGATATATTATATCTAAAAATGTGAACGTATGAACACTTACTTAAAACCAGAAATGATACTTACAAAAAGCAAACAAAAAGGGGTGTAGATACCTCAGATCACTCTTTAAGTTATAATACACATATTCATACAGTTATACGAAAAATAATAAGGTGGCTTACTTCCCTGTAAACGTCGCAAAAATTATCAATTTTCATGATTTCTCTTTTAATAACGATTTGAATAACGCTTTTAATCTTTTGTATCTTATTTAATTATCTTTTGGTAATATATAATAATTTTTTGTATAGTGTTATTGTAACTAGTATAACATTTGTATATTTAGTTCATTATAGCTTTTTTATGAAAAAATTATTGAAGAAAAAAGAAATTCTGGAAATTTGTACTTTAAACATTGGCCATTTTGATAATTATTAATATAAATTATTTATTTTAGTTTGGACAATAACGATAAGCGTACCGATTAAGAATATTTTTGATTTTTTGTTTCTTACTTTGAATACTCCAATTATCTGCACCAGTAAGAAAAAAAGAATTAACACTGTACAAAAAATTAATATGTATTACTAAATAGTAACTAAATAAGGTAAGAAGAAAATTGAAAGTGATAAATCGAACCGTTATTTTAGAAAAATTTATTCACAGGGAAGTATCCCATTAATCTATCTTGAAGAAATAGGTACCTATAGATTTATTCCTTACCGCTGTGATAAATTCAACCATTATACGTAATAAATTGCTTCAGATAACGCAATTTCAATCTTATAATGTTAGGAGGAAATATTGAATCCCCGTTTGTTAAACACATTGAATGAAAAAAGGAAGAAAATATGGCTTCTGGATCACAAACAGCACATGATCTATTCAAAATTGAGATAAGTTCGGATGAAAAAGAGAAGGAATTGTACGCGATATTAGTTGGATTTTTGAAATGGCAGATTTAATGAATTCTATAATAAGCTCTTTTACATTGTATGATTGTTTTAAAACGCAGCATCTAAATTAGTTAAATACAGTGAATATACTTTCTGCAAATACCACCAAGTATTTACATATGAAAATGTCTGCCGCCATCGCCAAATTATCCTTGATGTTATATCGAAAATCGTAAACCTGGCGAGCATCGTGGCCCTGGGTTTCTTTGTTTACGAAAGCTACCTAACTTTTTCTTAGTTGTGTTATACACCTTAAAACTGGGTTAAGAGGGAAACTTAAAATTACAGGGTATTGTTCAACTGAGAAAAAAACGTCCCACGAGCTAATAAGTCAAGGAGGCAAAGGAATTCCATACATGGTTGTTCTTGACTGCACAGCAATAACACAGGACGCAAGCGAGACGGCCAAAGATCAAAATTCGTAGTACCGCCAACTCCGTTCGTAATTTTTTTACGCAGAAGTAATTATCTGGATTGTCATTGCCAATGCTTGCTAAAATCTATCGTCTTAAGATTCACAATCTTTAAAAGTCCATAATAAAAGAGTTTCCAAATTTCTCCATGGCCTGAAGTTTATCTCAATTCGCTACACGAAAATTTCGAACGCAGTATATTTTCTTTATGAACGATAAAATAATTGACTCGAAGCCTTTGATTTAACTTTTAAGTTTCGATTTAAACATTAGATTAGGTAAATACACCTCTCTATTTCCAGCTGTAACTTCAACAATTGTTTAAATCTCGGTATATCAATTTCGTACATTATTCTGTACGAACATATACGTATATTTAAATCTGATTTTTTTAAACCGACAAAATGGTGTACCTCTTCAATAACGTTTACAGAGACCTCATCATATCAAGAAAATCAAATATATTTAAATTATATAATATGTCATAGTTTATTATTATTCCATTACATAATGTTGCTGCTTACAATTATATCACATACAACGTATCTTTCTGATTCACATTCGAAATCATAATGTAGTCCAACTGTCTTTACGGTGTCAGTTTATCGCTGAATGATCAATGAACTATTATCTCGAATAAAGAATCGTTCAAGCAACCTCCTTTGGCTCATTTTGTTTCTCTTCCGTCTTATTAGATCCTTGCAACATGTGTTGAATTTCCGCGAATGTTTTACGTGATGTTTCTGGCATTTTAAAGACTGCAATAGTGGCTATTATTACTTCGATGAGAGCGAAAATATAGAAGATTGTTTTTAATCCCCAAGCTGTAACTATAGGTTCAAAAGTCTTCGATACAATCACGCTAAGTATAGCTCCGAAAGTATTCAGGACAGAACCCGCCCAAATTTTAATGTTCATAGGAAAAATTTCTGAGCTAACTACTGCCGGAATAGGGACTAAACCGAAACTCGTAGCAGTGTTAAAAACTACAACTGCCACTATCGGTACAATGGCGTAGCTCTTAGTGTTGAATTTTTTTTCTTGGAGAAGGAAATACGTTCCCAGAACGCCTACGGATAAAGCAGCGATGTACGCTGATATTAAGAAAAGTGGTTTTCTACCAATTCTGTCAATAGTGAAGGTAGCTGCCAGGCCTGCAACTAAGTTTATTACACCTAATATAATTAAAATCATATTGGTGTCCAACGGGAAATGTATTTGATCAACTATAATTCCGATATACGACTGTACAGCTATCGTTCCAGAACATTGTTGACCGGCCAACAATAACAGTGCAAGCAGAAATGATTGCCTGTGCACCTTATCAGTGAACAGTATTTTCATACTTCCGCCTTTTTCCATTTCTGTAAACTCGTTCATCTTCTCTAGTGTCTCCTTATTGTCTCTTGAACGCCTTAGCCATATTAAAGAAATCTCGGCATCTTTCTCTTTATTTTTCTTCAAATAGTAATAAGGTGACTCTGGTAGCCATGGAAATAAGAGAAGTAAGATAGCCGATGGTACCAAACAGATAAGTGCTAGTATCTGAAACAGATAATGAAGAATTTTAGAATACACTATATAATGGTTATTCAAAGAGGGTAAAATTTCAAACAAATAATGATGGATTAATCAATATGGATGTTCAAAAGTTTGGACATTATTTTTTGTTGATGGTTTGTCGGTAATGATAGTACTCGGCGGACAGTCCGTCGCGCCACCTGTGGCCAGTGGGACAAGAGAATGATCGGTTGAGCAACCGTGATGCTTCAGTTTCGACAAATTTCCCTAGTAATTCAACCTTGAAATACGCTGAAGCGAGTGAAACGCCAATACAGTCCCATAAAAATGCATGGGACAGTAAAGGAAGGTAGCGGTGCAATGACTGCGTTCTCAACTGTGAATTCACGGCTCGATCGATAAACAATGTCGTTCACATTTTCAGACCGGAAACTCATCCTGTGACAAACAAGAACTCTGGATATTGCGTTCCGTTACTCTCTCATGACAATCGTACTGTTCGTCGGCTATCACACCACTACCCGCGAATCAGCAGTTTTTGATGCTGATATCTTGATAACGGCTTATGCAAAAAATTTCATTTCTATGATTTGGAAACGACTGAATGATAGGCTTCTATTTAAGAATTCTAACGTGACCTTACCGGGACTCTTCAAGGTCAGGTGAGGGTCAAGTACCTCCCACCGTGATACGGTAGTATTCCATACTTTGTAGCTGTTGTTCGACAGATTTGTTCGTATCACTGTTATTTTCCGAGGTTTGATTCAGTCCCTATACATTCCCTTCTAAATAAAACCTATTTTTATCTCGACAATTACAGAGCTTTGGATACGTGTTTACTGGTTCTTTTTTACTCAGTTTAGTGAGTTTTATACGCCCTATCATTTATGCGCAATAATTTAGAAATACCCTGTATATAGAGCGAAACCTAACCCACCTACAGTACAGCTCCCACGTTTATAGCAGCGACCTTATATCGGTTTAAAGGTGCACAGGGGCGTGGGGAGACGTCCACTTGCGGCGTTCAGCCTGGTACCTATGTATGTATATAGTTACGGGGGCTCGGTTTCGGCACGTCCTTGTTATTGGCTGAGTGACGAGTCGAAGTGGAGCGTGCGGACGATTCTCTTTTGCACCATTGGTTGCTACTATAAACGTGCACTTTTGAACCATTGGTTGCTACTATAAACGTAGGAACTACATTGTATTTATAAACTAATACAGCAACATTCGCTTTTCAGCATGTAAATATAAAGGAAGTTATTTTAAACTAATCTCTAACAGCTGTTTACAACTGCAACCTATAGATTCTAATTATTTTCACCGCCTAAGTTACATGCCACTATAATTGAATGTTCTATTATAAAGTTAAGTTGTGCTACAATATATTTCTTTCTGATTCCTATAGTCATTCCAAGGGTAATAGTAGCACAAATGGCGTACCTCGCCTATTTTCATGAGATTAATAAATATTGTTAAAAATGCATATTTTGAACAACTTTTTCCTTTGATAAAACTATTGCCATTTCTTATTTTCCGAAATAAACGTGAAAAAGTTTCGCTACCGCTATATTGAATTCTACAGTACGTGAGCACGCCGGTAACCAGAAAAAAGCGGCGAGGAAAAAAGCGCATACGAAAAATACACACATGTTCGAAGACGAACAGGAAAAAGAGCATAATGTAAAATACGTGCAGTGCATAATCCATACGTGTAAGAAAGTATTAACGACTACTGTTGCTGTGCATCCAGAAGAGATTTATTGATATAATAAAGATTGGTATAAGCAGAGCCAATTATATATAGTTTACATAATTTACAATTATACAATTCATATAGTATGTAGGGGTTATGGATTGCGCGTACTTCACATTGTGCGATTCTTTCCATGTACGCTTTTTCAATATGCTCTTTTCGCTATATGCGCTTTTTCCTCTGCATTTTTTGCATATAACTACTCTCTCACAGGTGTGCTCGTGTATACGAAATTCAGTACAGTGGTAGCAAAAGTTTTTCGCGATAATTTCGGAAACGAAATGAGAGCGACATTTTTATCAAAGGAGAAAGTTGTTCAACATATGCATTTCTATCAACACTTGTCAATTTTAAGAAAATCGGTGAGGTACTCCACATGCGCTGCTTTTACCATAATTCGTTTAGCTTCTAAATTGTTTTTGAAGTTTGTATAAAACAGTAAGGGACCGTGGTATCCATTATCGTCGACTAGTAGGACCTCGTATCGATTAGTCAGTATCTTCTGGAGTAATGAGTGCAACGACTACGTTCTGCTACGGTGCAAAATGACAAAATGCGATGCACTTTGTTCACGGAAATAAATCGATGATTCGATCGATAAACAATATCATTCGCATATTTCCAAAGTATATCGTAAGTCATGACGTTTCATTTAAATAAAAATAAGGAGAAATGACTAAGGTTCGTAAAAGGGAGGAATCAATTCAGCGATTAAGATTCAGAAACACAAGGAAGTTGAATATTTCCAAATGGGATAGCTATAAATTAATTTTAAAAACTTAGAAGAAAACAGTATTTTACCACATAACTTATCACTAGTGTTCTAAATTAATAGAATTTCATATGAATTTCAAAATTCAATTTTGCGTAAAAATGTTTCGTCTGATCCAAAATTGTATCTTCGATTCTAACACTGGCTAGTGGCAAACAACGGTGTTTGAAACACTTAAAGATGTACTGGATTGTGTGTAGGGAGGGAACCTCTATTTCTATAACAACGTAATAAATATGGCCAATATTCTAATTTTGATCTGATTCGCCTCCTGATCCAATTCTCTATGATTCACCCAATTGTAATGTTTGAAATTTTGTAGCGATATTAGTGTTAAAGAGAATTGGGTTTCATTTATTGTAAACCATGATCATACAGCTAGCTGTTGTTCGGCAAAGGTTCCTTGCTTTTACTGCTTTTACTGTTTATATAAAAATTACCTTTCCGCTAACCAGTGGACCAATTCCATACATGGTTATATATCCTAAATTGAGTAGCAGACCCATCATCACGCTGGATGCTCCTCTGATTCTAGGTTCCACGATTTCGCTAATGTACTGTGGAACTACAGTAAAAAGAGCTCCAATCAGAAGTCCGGATATGAGTCTTGCTACAAGGAGGAGCGTCCAATTCTTGGCGATATAAACGAGTGCCCAACTGACAATGGGAGGTATACATGTCAGAATAAGGAACCATTTTCTGCCAATGTAGTCAGCCAGAAGTGAAGGTGTAATTGCTCCAAAACAACTTCCTATTAGCAATGCACTGACAACCCATGACCTTTGTTCTTCAGTTATCGATATGCCTGGGAAATACTTTTCAAAGTGAAGAAAACTGATCGCTGACCAAGAATAGCACAATCCAGCTGTGAATAGTGCTAGAGAAACTGAAAAGAGACGTATTACATATAAGTTTCTTAGTTAAATAACAAGGGTGGCGATGGAACATTAAAGTAAGCAGCATTTTAACGTCTAAACACCCGGCAATTCCGGGATATGAAATATACCAAATACCGGATGTTTTATGGAATCGTATAGTAAAAATTCATTCTGTTTTGTTACATTGAAAATAGATCCAGTTAAAAAGTAACATATACATATATATATATATATATATATATATATATATATATGTGCGCGTGTGTGTGTATAATTATATTTATAGTGAAAAATATGTGAATCGGGAATAATATAGACGAGAATATAAAAAACCAACAAATAACTATGTTTATTAACAAGAAAACAAGAAACTATATATACTAACGACGTACAACTAAAACGACCCAGACACTCTTTCGGACATTCGCACTCAAAAATCATTCTCTCACCTAGAATCATTCTTCTCACTCGCACTCTCAGCAAACTCTCGAACAGGCCCATTCAAGACCTAACTGGAAACCTTGGGCCTGCGGCGTTGTGCAGGCCACGTTTCCTCGATCGTTAGGCTTCCCTCTTGTATGGCCCTTCGCCAACACTCATTCACGCATTCACGCATTCACTGTTCTGAAAAATATTTTAATACTACGCTGATAAATTCTAAATACCATATATATTTTGTCGAAAAAATATATTAGTTTTTAATTTTGACCGGCTAATAGATCAAATCGGTCACTGTGCGTCGTGTGAAAATGGCCTTATATTTCGTGACGTTTTAATTTGTCGGTACTTGGAATAGATAAAGATTAAAACATTCCTATTAACGAGATGCTATATTGTATATCTCATAGTTTTTGTTATCAATATCTGCTGTTCCTTATCTACGAAAAACATTGATATTCCGTTTTATCCATCCGTCCCGTTTTACTTTATTCTTCCGCACCGCATACGTAGAGAAAAGTGGAGCGAGATGTGAATGTTAAGAAAAAATTGCTGTGTAATTTTATGTATATTGATTTCGTGCCTTTATCTTACTAAAAATCTTGTCTATGGTACCGTTTATATTACTATGCTTATTTTCGGTTTTTCAAGGCGTATAAAAAGTAAATGTAAAGAACTTTATAGCGTGATTTTACACTTTTATAATCGACAAAGACTTTTACAAATAGATTGGTATAACATTGACCTTGATCTTAAAATTCAAGGTCAAATTTTGTTGTTATTCTCATCGTATTCTATTCATCGTGAAGGTAAATAGTCCGAAAGGGACCATGGGTTGGAAATGAATAGTTTGCTTGCAAATCGCTGTTATGGTTTTCATAGGAGAGTAAAGGTTACCAGACTAGACTAGACTAGAATTTGATATCGATAACAAAAATTTCAATCCTTTTTCTCAAGTTCAGAATGAATTTTACGGCTACATACTCCCTTACATTCTTTTTTCATCACATCGAAAATGTATAATTACTGTCTGATGGCCGCGACATCTTAATCCGTAACATTCTGTACGTATCTGTAGTCTGGAATATTTATGCAACCCGAAAAGCAATTATATATGTGGCAAAAAATGAAAATGGAAGGTCAGATGTCCTCATTTTGCAATTTTTACTCCAAGATTTTGCGATCGAAATGCAAAAGGAAATAAAGCAGTTTGCGAGTATTACATACGTAGGCGTATGTATACAATACTACAAGGTGCTGATATTTATATATTACTCGAGGAAGCAAACATATGAATAAGAATATTCTTAAAATTGTTCACGACACGCAATAAAGATTATTCATAATGATTATTAATAAAAAAGTTGATATAAACATACGTCCTATTCGACTTTACGTTCAAGTTATAAAGTTTGTATTTAATTCCATCCATCTGTTTACTAATAGATCTCAATGTCTGTGTTGAGGCTCGCGGTGGATTATTTAAAATCCAAATGGATCAATTTAATGAAAAAATTATCAGTGAAAATTAACATGTAAATTACACTATTTCCGACATTCGATAAGTTCACATGATTCTTACTGCAATTCGTTTGAAAGGTTTGGTTTCGCGCCTTGAAGTAGCCCTAGCAATTTCATTTGAGAAATCACGTTTCTTGTGTGAGGCGAATCGCTAAGTATATCCTTGAAAATATCCACTGCTACGCACAACTTTATTATACACAAGGTGTTCAGGAAAAGAACGTTGCAATATTTATATGCCACATAGAACACATTGTATCGGATAAAACGGCAAGAAAGATCAGGAGCAAGTATATTGTGTTAAGATTTCGACTTATGTTCGCTAAAGTTTTTTTCACTTAGCATAGTGTGTTCTATGTTTCATATAACGATCGTAATTCTTTCTTAAATTTATATATTAAATTATATTGTATTACACTAAAAATAAAAACACAAGAAAGTTGAGTACAAACACAATATCGGTTAAAAGCGAAGAAAAGGAAAAAATATAATATCAATAAAAAAGACATATATACTTATAAAACTCGCAATTAACTGGGGGTAAATTACACCCTTTTCCTCCTTGGAAGGAATGTTCACCGATGGTTCACGGTCGATGCTTTTTATTTTTTCCATTTGGGTCGACTTTTCGATCAGTTTCTGTAAAAAAGGAATAAGTTGCACAGCTGAAAGATGAATAAATATAAGGTATTGTAAGAACAGGAATATATATTCCAATTTAATAATTATTGTAATGTAAAAAGATAAACAATTCTACTTTACAATGTGAATATTTAAATTTCATTGATTAACACTAAACGTACCGTGATCGCTCGAATGGCTGATTAAAAATTTGATTTAATGTCAATGCATTATTATGTTTGGTTGTACGTTAAATTTTCTAAAAAATAAGCTAAATAGTCAAATTTCTTCATATATATATATATAACATATATATATAACAAAAAAATCTAACATAAGTTGAAAAAAGTGGAAAATTCATTTAATTATCCTTTTGAATTCTATAAATATTTATTTCTTTAATATTTATTAATATCAAATATTAATTTCTTCGAGTTTTAGTGCAAGTTTCATTGAAAAAAATGTATATCTCTTATTTCTACAAGCTTTTCAAATCAGGTGTTGCATATTAGGTGCCGTTACTCCATATATAAAATATCGGTACGTTTAGTATTAACGAATGAACAATGTATTTAGTTGCATAGCACGAAGTATAAGCTTAAAGCAACGAACACATCCTCTTTAGCAATAGTACGTGAGATACATACGGAATACATAGTGACAATCAGTGACGTAATTTTGCCACCTGTCAGGTGTGCATTTTACTTCTGACTGATAAAAGAAGTTGCACCTCAATTATCACGCATCACATTGAATTTACACGGAAAAAGAACGCAGTAATCACGCAGAAAGCATTTACACATGCAGTTTGACTATTCTGATCATTCGAAATAGTAAGAAAGTGTTATAAATTCAGCTGGAATTGGAAAACCCGCAAAAATATCGAAATAAAATTTGTGAATAACACATCGATGTTACGATCTGATCGATGTTATTGATCTGGCCACTACGGAGAATAATTAACCGTTGATAACATTATTATAATTCGAATAGACCAGAGATGTAACAGAGATACTTAAAAAGTTTTCAACTCTGCGTCTCATGAATAGATGATAAGTACACCCAATCGTAACACACTTTCTTACCTCAATGATGGGAAGCTAGAAAACAATTTAATCGGAAGAAAACGAACGAGTAAACACAATTAAAACAGAATACAATCAAATGCAATAGACATAAATATAGCATATTCGAAAACGATTTACGATATATACTCCAATATTGTTTATTTTTCAAATATTCAGGGAATGTCTTAAAAAGCACAGAATACAGTTTTAATATGAAATATTGCACAATTTAATATAATTCAGCTTGAATGCTGTGATTGTAATTAAAATTACACACACCTACGCAGGTTATTACTGACCTACTCGTTTGGAATAATAAAAGAGGCATAAACAGACTTACGAGGACCCGATGGATCGAATTGCATACGCGTTAACAAAATATAGAAAAGGTCACACTTATGCTTGTATGAAAATAGTTAGCATAAACAAAAATGAAATACATACCGAGTTAATACCTATTACGAATCAATACCTTAAATAGGTAAAAATCTGGAAAAGTATTTGCTCAACAACTCTCTATAATAAAGGTGCTAGGGATTTCGAAATTTTCAATTCATGCTGACTGCAAAACAAATAACGGACAGACAAGTGTTACTACAGTGAAAAAGGCGAAAGAAAAGAATGAACAGAAAATCCTTCCATTTCCATTAATTTCCATTCTGAGGAAAGCACTTGAACATTACAATTGAATGTAAAACTGCAGTTTACACCTACTTAGAAACCCAAGGTTCTATTATGGCTACACAAAATGAAAATATGACCATAAGAAATGACCTGAAATATACATAGCAGCAGATTCTAACATAAACATATGTATTAACATTAATAAAAGAGAAGTAAATAAACAATTAACTACTAGATAACTAATAGATGTGGCACTAATGAATAAAATGCAAAATTGCACACACGTACACATGCATAAAGGGTATTGTAGCACCGGATAAGAAAATATAAAATACACACCATTTAAGAATAAGTATCAATAATACTTAATAAACGTTTATATCTGTTCTGATTGCTGTAATTACGCGAATATGTATCCTAATAGTCTATTTTTAAATCCCTGCAATATAAGTGCAATATAAGTCCGTAAACCTAGTCTGTTAATCACGCCTACGATCGGCATAATACAAATATGTTCATTAAATTCGTACAGGTAATTTTGGTAACACGCCCAACAATTGCAGTTAAATGATTTTAATTTAACTTAATGCTTTCACTTACAATTAGATTCATGGAAAGCGAAGACAATAATGATCATAAAAACTGTTGAGTTTAGCTTCAATGGAAAAGACACACGGTGTAACATGTAAGAATGACTTATTTTCACGTTCTATAATGAATTTATGACAGTTGCGTTTTTATTGGAAAGCAATAATTACAATGCATACTTTGATATACATTATTTTACATTATATAATTTATGAAATACTTTCTATAGAAATTAGTAGACAGTTATTAATATGTCAATATTAATGTGTGTCCGATGTAACATACGTACATACGTATTATTGCTTGTACAGAGTGAATTTGAAGTGACTCAGGCCAATGTAATTTTGTTCTGTTTCAAACAACGATGGAATATTTAGAACAGCGAACTATGATTATCAGAAATATAGTTTTATATCTATAGTTAGAGATTATGTAAGTATTAGTATTAATAGATTCGCTTTACTGTCTCAATGGTTACTGTAGAGTATAGAAGCGGGCGGAAGTAAATATGTGTAAAATGCCATATAAGGCTGTTTACTTTCCGTTGATATGGTGTACTTGTCACGAGTATAATAAATGGATAATATTAAAATGAGTAATGATGGTTCTAACGAGTGCAGACATGTACGGATCCAGAGAATCGTCACTCGATCGAAATTGTATCGTCAGGACACCGTGCAAGGTTAATCGATTAGAGTAATAAACTCGGCGCATCAAGTTAGCCGAGTTAGATCGCAATTGGTCCCGAACGATTAACCGAACGTCCTTTATCGAGAAACGGTTCGAACCGCAAATGAAACGACGGTCGGGCTTGTCCGTCCTAATCAGAAGGATCGAATCATCAAATACGATTATCGTTCGGCAAATAGTGATTGGAAGTTCACCGACCAAACCGTTAAACACACGAATCGGTTAACTGATTTAACAAATGATGGTCAGCAAAGCGAAAAGCGAAAAGCGAAAAGCGAAAAGCCTTAGTTTTTTAATCGTTCGAACGCGTGGCATTAATAGCGTCGATGACAGTAGAGGGGGTAGATGTAAAATAGTATAGTTAGGCTGTGCGGTTAGTTCAGCTCGAAGAGCGAGGTAGTTGCCGTCCAACCGTGTCAGCGATTGAGTGAATTGAAACGACGGTGCCGTGGCACGTGACATATCACACAAAATTACGGTAATTGTAGTGAGTTGAATCAACCGCTTGCTCCCGCATAACTGGCGATCACGACGCGATCCAGACAGATATCGATATACTTTACCGGTTTCTATTCATGAGTTCTCTTTTGTTCTCTTTCGTTGTAGGCTTCTTAAGCTACGCAGAATTTCTTTTCGAGCCAACCAAAATTCGTGGCTCCTCTTCACGAAAGCTACTCGCCTGTCTCGTCACCTATCATGGGAACGTTTCTGCGTTTCTTCGGGTTTTTCACCGACGATAACAGAATCGATGAAGCCACGGGTCTGACCGAGAAACAGAAGAAGTTGGTACAGAACACGTGGGCCGTCATCAGAAAGGATGAAGTGGGTTCCGGGATTGCCGTAATGACCGCGTAAGTGGTGTATTCGTATTATAATTTGCTTTTTCTAATCATTTCTGCAATTGTTTTCAACAACTTGATGCCGCTGCTAATCTGTTACGATTAGCTTATTACTGTATACATATAAGACGCGTACAAAGATACCGATAACAGTTCGTATCAGCATTTTCTCTTATATAATTTCCAATCGTTTCGTTCTCAGTATTACGTTATGTTAAAGAATAGCAGACTGATCAGATTTACATTTGTCGCTGCTTCATTACACATAGAAATATGGTAATTTCGAAACGATAATAACTGACCCGTAGAACTGAATTCGAATGCGAAATAAACACGAAAATCTCGCAGTCGAAAAGTAATTTTGACCAAATATTGACCACTGAAATAGTCGAATACTTAGCTGCGATACGTTATAAAAACAGTAATATTCAATTTGAAGCATTAAACCTTTGTTGATTGATGTTGTGCCGTTTTCCAAAGAACCGACACTGACTTTTCTGCTAATTTCATGCAAATTTGATTACTCTCTATACATTTTCTTCCAGACCTATGGATATATCTATCTAAATGAAGTTTCGCAATTCCAAGCAATTCTCGCTGTACTGTATTAGTTTGCGAATTTTATATGTTTAGAGCAACTTCGATCTTTGAAAATTGTATAATATTTTATATACTTCAATATTTACTTGGTATGCGTTCGTTGACTTTTCAATTTATTTTGGCTCTAACGGGACTTGCAATACAGTGTATAAAATTCTCTAAATAATGGTATATAAGATAAAATATCGGGACGAAGATCCGCATCCTACGCATCGTCAATGAATCACTTTTTTCCACTAACTGTTACAAATAATAGTACACTCTTCGATGCGACTAGAACAAAATTTCAGAGTTGAGAAACCGATAGTTACTACAATTTGCAGAATCGTATTTGTTTCGCAAGTGCAACGGTATATGTGGATCAGGTGCATTTCTCTGTTCGACAGAAATGTAAATACTTATACATAGTAGATGTTTATATACGTGAAGTGAAATTTCATTTTCAACATTCTTCGTGTCGCGTGTCAATTGTTTTTATAACTGAATGAATCTTTTAAAGAATTTATATAATTTGCGAAAAACGACGCAGATCTTCAACAAATTTTTTAATAAAGAAATGTAAATATACTTAAAAGCATTTCGGGAATCAATGAATTTTTTACCACATTACTTTAATATTTTTTTTATGATAAATGGCGAGAAGATTTCATCTATAAGAAAAAGGTGTATTTGTTAAATGCTCACATATTATTGTATTTTTAAAAAATATACAATTTTATAGGCGTAGTACATTTTTGCGTAATTAATTTTTCTTATTTTTCTTGTTTCTCTTGTTTGTCAACCATACCTGAAAAGAACTATTGCTTGTAATAGTTACGTGGTTGCTTCTGTATTTTTTACAATGCAAGCTTCACCAGTTTTCTCAGATAACAATGCAACAGCATGAGATACACGTTTAGTATTTACAAATGACTTCTGTATTGATTTTTTTGTACCATGTTAACGTTAAAACATTCGGTTATTAATAGCAAGCTTTTTCGATCGTAAGATTTTCATTTGCACTGCGTAATCTTTCAATGAAAGTTCATTATCACTTTTAAATAAGTAAATAATCATATAATTTCTGCATATACTAATAAAGCAATATAAAATTAGTAACTATCTAGAAAAAGTGCCACCTCGTCGATTTGAATGACCTTGAAATATGTTGTTAGAAACATCTTTCCGAAGAACTTTCCTCTATATGTATATTGCCGCTGCTCAGCCTTAGTTTCCGAGACATTTGTAAAAAATGAATATGAAAAATGAAGAAATATGCTGTCGGGGGCTTGTTTCTGAATAACTTTTGTCAATACATGTTGCCGTCGCTTGGCCTTCGTTTTAAAGATATTCGCAAAAGTATATTAAACATTATATACTGCAGTTTGTAAGTACGTTGCATATGAATTAGATTGGAGCTGGACGATTCAATGAATCGTATCATATCGAAAATTGTGTTGCTTAGATGATGAGATTGGTATTAATGGTGCTAATTTTTTAGGTGGAGATGTAATTTATATTATCACTTGATAACTGCCAATAGTTTTATCAGAATCGAAGGATTTTTGTAATTATGGACCGACCATGTAGGCGGGTGCTCACCCGACCCGAAAAAACTAACCCCATTAATAACAATCTCTAGTATCTAAATGAAACTCGTGCGTACATGTTGTAAGAAACAGCACCAATAAATAAAGGTGAGGGTGAAAATTTGAGCGTAATATGAAATTTTAATGTTCGGTAACGTTTGCAGTAATAGTCATTGCCAAACAATTCAAGATACTGATAGTTGTTGTTTACTAAACATATTTTTGTGTATGTCTCGAAAACTAAGAAACGATGGTATCATGTATAGAGAAAAATTGTTCAGAATTACGTCTCTGATAACATATTTCAAGGTTATCACAATCCCTATGGAGGTTCCTTTTCTAAATAATTATGGTGAAATTTAACCTTTATCAACATATATTTAGTAAATATCTTTTACGTTGACATCAGTTGAAGGCAGGTATTTTTTCACACAATTTACAGAAACACTGCTTTACATACAAACTTTATATAAAGTATTTTTTCCATAAACACTATGTTTAAACGATTTTATTTGAATTTATTTCGATTTGAACAAAATCGACTCGTTTCTTTGTTAACCTGTTCCGCAAAGTAAGGCATTTAAGCAGGCCACTTGAATTATTCGAATACCGTTGTCGGTAGGATGAAATGCATCGGATCAGACAAAACTGGTTTGTCGTCGAGAAGTACATAAATTTATTTGAACAGTTTCTTTTGTAGATATCAGCGTAGAGAACATATGACGGTCAAGGTTTTCGTCAATAGCAACTACGACAGAAAATATTTTACTTTGTAAAAACGATCTAACACGTAGAGATCGTAAAACGTAAATAAATATTTAGTTGCATTGTTCGCTTCGTACTCATCTATACTCGTAAACATTATTATTACTTTTTAGTATACTGCTGACCCAAGTGTGACTGATACTTTCAAAATTTGTTAAACAAAGAAGGAGGAAGTGGGTGTGCTACTATTAAGACGATCACGTTAATTAAAATAAATAAATAAATAAAGTGGATATACTGATATCAGTCAGATAATCAAACCTGAAAACTTAGTTCGTATGTTATATATTCGCAAACGAAACTGCAGTGTTATATGATTCGCCAATCGACGTAATATTCTTCTCATATTTGTAAATTATGTCTATTCTATTTTCTTCTGTGTTTTATCTGAGCTGTCAGTCTTTATTGAGCAAGTGCAACAATGGGATAATATATGGAGTAAATTTGTATACTATCTCTCGAAAACTAAGGGTCGGAAGAAAAATTCTTATTTTTGCGTAAGATTCTATGTTTTCTTTTCTGTTGTCTGTTTTATGCACCTACATAACGTTCGATCGTACCCTGTAAAAATGCTTCAAGAACATTTTAACAGCTACAGCAGAATATTACAGAAAGTTGAATTTTACTCGTGGGGGCCATTTTTTAAAAATTTCTATATATTCGATATGATAGTATTCGATGAAAAAGGACTTCATTTTAAGTTTCATATTTTGAGGGTTTTGAAATATGTTATCAAGGTCACCATTTGGAACAATCGTGAGAGAACCAGTTCTTTCTTTTAACTTTCAAAATAATCGCAGAAAACTTCTTCCACGGTTAAAAATTTACAGTTAAATGGGCTTTACTAGAATATAGGATTATGGGGAATTCTAAAGCAAACATGCGCACGGCACCTTCTCCGTTCTGGCGCCACCCACTTTCACCCAATAAAATACAGGCCCATTCATACCAATTTCTGTTATTTAAGTGAAACTTACTTTTACGTGTACGAAACAACATACTAAACTACTGCAGTTGAACATAGACACATTTTTTAACGCAGCAGTGGAGAAAGTTTTTAGTAATTATTTCAAAAACTAAAAGAAAGCGCCGTTTTTCTCAGAGAAAAAATTTGTTGAAAATGATGACCTTGATAATGCGTATTCCACAATCATCAAAATCGGAGCTACTGATCTGTTTTTATATACACATTTATTAATTAACTTTATATATGTATAACTTCTAAACCGACGAATTCTTAAACCTGAAATATGAAATTTACTCTTTATTCATTGTTAAGGCTTCGTACGGGCCTGGTTTATAACAGGAGCGGAACCGTTAAAGCACTGTGGATCTTAATTCGGGGCCTGACCAGCAGGCCCTCGCGGAAACCAGTGTTGCAATTTTCGTTCCATCAAACCAGGGGTGGCCAACCATGGGCGCATTGCATCCTTTCGCCTACTTATTCTTTTTAAGTGCTTCAATGAACGCGTCTCTTTTGAACTCGCGTAAATTAATTAATTTAATTACGAGATTGAGTTATTCCTTTTCCTCTCCTAAGCAAACGAAATCCTACCCCAACCGTGAACGTGAGAAGGTTGAAAAGATCTGTGAAAACAATGGGTGTATGGTATGCAAATGGTTGGCCACCCCTGCGTTAAACAGTGTTTCCGCCATAAACCAGGCAAATTTTCACGCAGCAGCGAGAGTCGCTCGCAGAGATATGCATCCGCACATGGGCCCGAGGTACTTCTCGTAGCGAAACTTCTCGCTGTTGCCAGAAATTCATGTCTTTTCGGGTGCAAGAACGCCGATCAGACGAGTCACGCTAGAACAGTCGACCATATAGTTAGAATCAAGCCTGGTTAGTGACAAAACATTGACCCTGCACAATTATAGTTAGAACTTTAGTCTCTCTAGAACAGTCTGCGATCATCCTAGTTAATGAAAACGTTAAGCCTACGTCGGGACCTTGGCAGTAGCCATACGTGTTACAATTCCGAATTTTTCAGTAGTCCTTCCAAAAGTTGGAAGGTGGTCCTTTGAACCTCTAGAAACATTAGTCGACACACGTAATGCAATTCCCAACGAAGTTTGACGAATTGTATCCAACATTCAAGCCGAACATTAATATTCATCAAATGCTATCAATATATGCATATACAAAAAATTGTTTAAAAAACGGCAGCCCGAAGTAAAGTTCAGCCGCATTTTATTTTACGGTATTCAGAATGACTGTAAGTGTAACGCTATACAAACTTTTCTGCTAAATATCTCATTTAATATTTCTTTCTTTTTTAAATATTTTTCTTCTTGTTTAGTTAGAGTATCATGTTTCATTATTTAATATATTTTTCGTGATTGCTGCATATATAAGATAAATCACATACGTGGTAGATTTAATAAAAGTGTTTTAATAAACGAAATTTTGTAGGGAATATTTTATTTAGAGTAAGGTTGCCAATTAATTAAAATTATTCGCGGATTCCTTTTATTGGATCCTTAGTAATTATCTTACTAATTAATCAATTTTTTGTGTTATGTATACTCGGGTATCCTATAAATACATAAAACCAATCAGCTTTCCACTATTTTCACGAACAGTTAAATATCCCTTCCAGGACCAAGTACGAACTGTAATTGTTTAATAATATTTATAGTTTAAGCATTGAAACTCAAAACGTTTAACAGACGATATCATCAGTATTTCTTATGCTGAATTCAAGTATGCAATCCGTTTGTTTCTATCACAAATATTTAAGTAAAGCAAATGAACACATTTACATGGAGAAACCGACTAGCCGCGGCTGCATTTTATTGGGGAGAGGGAATCGTCGGCATTGAGAATCACTGCTGGTACCTTGTATTTCGCGCAACTATTTCGAATTATTCTCAGTAGAAAATTAAACGTGTCTCGGAACTTTTTACAATGGATTCCGCAAGGTGCATATGTGAACTATTAAAAGTTTATAATGTTATTAAAATATACATCATTGTGATCAGGAAGGTCTATAAAATAATGTTGTGTGAGGAAAATTTGAAATATTTTCGTAGTTAAGACGAAATAAATGTCTAAAGTTGAAAATTTCATTTCTTTCTCAAAATTGATTTTCTCAAAAACTGAGAGTGATAGGAACAAACCGATTCTATATTTGAATTCGGCATAAGAAATAATATTAACCCTTAACGGACCGGGAGTATTTCAAGTTTACTTAGAGCCAAAACATATCGTAACATAAATATCAAGCAGAAAGAAATTCACAGAAGTGACCTGGCACGATACTTAACGTATTAATTGTAAATATTACAATAATAACAGTGTTAAAAATAATAAAATGATTTTTGCCGCTATGTACGCGGCGGTGCTCTGTGAAGGGTTAAGATCACCTATTAAACCTGTTGAGAGAAAAATCATATTAATCGATGTCATTAATATAATCCTGATATTGTCTTCTAAATATTTTTCCCTGTTTTATTATTTCTTTACGTGCATATTAATGTAGTATTTGATTGTATTGTACCGTATCATCGATATTTTCTCGATATTTTCCAGATTTTTTAACAAATATCCACAATATCAACAGTACTTCAATGCCTTCAAGGATGTTCCATTACCCGAACTGCCAAATAATAAAAGGTTTCAAGCGCATTGTGCCAGTATAATTACAGCCTTAAATACTGTTATCGATTCGTTGCACGACCCAGGATTAATGGAGGCAAGCCTAATCGGCTTGGCCGAGAGACACAAAAACCGTGGACAGAAAAAACAGGAGTTTCAGGTATTTGAATTATTTGACAGAATCAAGCATTGTCGAAACAATACTTTTTATAACTTTTTTTAATGATAATTTGAAACGGTACTTTTATTAATTTTCCACTGAATTATAACGAAGTATGTTGAAGTAGTATCTAGTAAAGTCGAAATCGTTATACCGTATTCTGCGAGTAGGTACTTGCAATACTTTTAAGGATTATGCTCTAAAAATACGTTTAATTTATAGGATCTGAAGGAAGTGATACAGGAAGTTCTTCGCCAAGCATTGGGAAGACAATTTACTTCGGAAGTAGCCGAAGCGTGGAGCAAGACTTTGGATGCTGCGTTCACGAAAATATATCAAGTATTGACCGTCTAAACTTTAAAGGATTAATACCGAGACGAATTCTTAACGAAAATGCACCGATTGCTAGACATTCAGCATTCATTACTGTACATAAAATTGATGGTTTTATATGTTTCATACAGTTACTACCTTTAGAATTAGACTGCGGATCTTTATGCATTTACGAGATATTTGGAAGTGCAAAATTCCATAAAATGATTAAAGTGTAAAAAAATATGTAAAATACTCCAAGTATAATATATTTTATAATATTTGTTAGGAAAAACCATTTTCCATCGTAATTTTATTTTTCTAATGATGTTCGTAAAAATTTGAATGTGCGTAAAAGTTGGCAGTCTAATTATTATACTGCGTTGAATCAAAATTGTTGAAAATTTCGAAAATTTCTATGCGAATTGAATAGAAATACACATCCTCTACTTTCGGCTATTTAGGCGTAGCTATACTAATTTGACATGGTATATTACGCAAAAGAAAATACGTTAAGTTATTGTACATTACTTCATATCCAATATGGAAACTCTATAACTCTTTTCTATCTTATTTTTTATTCACTTTTTCCATAAATATTACAACACCTTATTTTGTAATTTTTTATTTCGTTTATGAATTAACATTGATCATTACTCATGGTGTACTTATAAATGACGCTCCTTTAAATATGTACATTGCTTCTGCCTTGAATTACGAAATAATGTTTAATAATCGGATTGAACAGTATTAATTTGAAAATTTAATGTCCGTATCACTTGATATAACCTTTATTAAATATAAGAAAAATTATAACTAATCGTCTTATTTTTCTATTGTATTTTTGGCAAACGCGATGGTGTTTATTAACACATAAGATTTTCCTTCTTTTATACTTGCCTTTTATAAACACAATTAGAATCATATACCCATCTGATCATATTAAGATCACATCAAAATAATGATGGAAACATAAGAACCTAGGTATATGTAAAAATGTATTATTAAAAAATTACAAGTATTGATGGATTTTAAGCCAGACATTTCAGTAGACACGACAAACAGTTTAAAAGAGGACCAGAAATAACCTTTTTTAATGTTTCTGTAATAACCTTCATACTAAACTGATCAGATTTTGACCTTTAAATTATAATAAAATTGTAATATATATCAAAACATCTTCCTCTAACATATTAAAAGAAAAAGGCTATTCTTTAAATATATGATCAAATTATGAAAAATCGATAGGATAATACCTTATTGTAATAATCACAGATATTTATGAAATTGTCACAGATGTGTAGAAAAAATTATTTTTAATATTTTGTTTAAAAACATTAGTAATATTTGTCTACTTACTTTGTATATATTCTTGTTAATAAATGGTAAACGGAATAACGCCAAATTTTAGTACTGTAAAAATGCGTCACATTTTGGTTTTCTTGTTAAAGTATAGTTATATGTGTAACTTACGTTAAAGTATAGTTATATGTATAACCTACGTTAAAGTATAGTTATATATGTAACTAACAGCTGGCAAGGCTTGTAAACACAACAGTTTATATCTGTTTCACATAATACGTATACTCCATTTTAGAATTATTAGTATTATACAGAAACAAGAATCTAAAAAAATGGTTCATAAAGATATACATAACAGGCCGCGTTAATACGGAAAGATGAAAATTTGATTTGCGCAATTAGTTTTTAATTCGATTCAAATAGCAGGTATGGCAGAGAACACACCGGAATGTAATTACGAGGACGGAAATTTATCCGTCAAATTTCCCAAACAACATTAAGAGTATATTCTGACCTGGAACTTCCAAAAAACGCAATCTTTCGTTTTTTGAGTGTTCTTAAAATATTTTCTTCATTTGTTTTGGATTCGTAAAATTCTAGTCACAAGTACGTAAGGAACTTGACGACATGTAAATAATCGCACCATAGCCGCAGATACGGTGTGGAGATCAAGAGAGGTCGGCTTATGGTAAGATCGCATGTCCGTACCTTTCACGTTCCAAGAAGTTCTTATTAACATGGGTCTTTGGCGGTGACTCACGGCATAGTAGTAAGATTCCCGTATTTACGGAGGATCTACCACGAACGAGTAGAAGTAACAGAAGCCATTCCAGAGAATGAGCGAAATATGAGAAATGATACGCCAATGCATTAAAGTTCGTCACCCGTTTCGTGCTATCTCAGTCACTCTCTTGATCAGGTGATACGGTCAGCCAGCATGCATGCACGGTGTGTGTATCACTGATTCGGCAACACATGCCAGAATCGAAAATTTCCTTCCATTTTGACCATTTAAAGCCGCATTGCTTACACGGGTTCCCAGACTCTCTTGATCTGTACACGATACATTCTTCCTCCTCGCTTGACATTTAATAGCAAAACGTGCTGATTTAGGAGCAAGGGGCGAATGGGGATTCCGGTTTTTTTCATCATTCTAGATATATTTTATGTCGTTCAAAGTAGTAAAAGAAAATTGGTCGAAGAGACGAAAAAACGATTGACGGTAGTAAAAGTAAACAAAGGAAAGTCCATCTTATGATTCAGAATTAGCATACTAGTTATAAATACACGCATGTAATCCGTGTAGATGGTAGTAAAATCTTTATGAAGAAGCTCTGGAGAAATCTTTAAGAGACATTTTTTTTGTTTCAATCAATCGTAGGTACTATTCCCATAAAATGTATTTCCAAAGCTACAATTCAAAATTGACATTTGTAAAGAACCCGGTGTACGTTTTTTGCGCATAAGTATGTATATGAATGCGTGTGTATGTATGTAGTACATAAATCTGTAAAAAAAGTTTTTTAAAAAATTCAAAATTTGTTTAATTCGAAACAAGAGTTGATGTTATCAAAAAATTGTTTTCATAGTTTTGTAGATGTTACGTCCGACTTGCTCGTCTCTAATCATAAACTAATCGACAGCGAAGCGACTTAGGATAATCCCGTAATTACAGACCAAGTGCGCGAGCACTCCGAAATCTTGTTAATTTTTATGATGGTCATCATACAACATTTGGACGCCATGTGTGACGCAGCGACAAACTGCAACCGTAGAAACCCGTAACCGTCATGACTACACAAATAGTTATAAATCACGACGATGACGAAACGAATCTAGACTTTTGACAATTTCCCACTCTAAGACACAAAATAGACACACCAGCGACCAATGACAAAACACAACTTTCCTCCACCCAAAACTGCGACTGACCAATCCTAAAAAAACCAAGTTTACATAAAATAAGATGCTAGGAGAACTTTCACAAACGTCGCGAAACCTAACTTTGTACAAAAGGTCCTCGAGTCCGTGTAGTTACAGTAAAGTGTTTTTTCACACAACATCTCACCGTGTGTCATTCTCCGATCGGGACAAGAATCCAACCATTTTCTCGGAAACCCTTCCATGTGTTACGGCAACGTAACACCTACAGTATAATATAAATAACATTAAAAATATACGTTAAAAATCAAGAGAAAACAGCCTTCCGATTTAAATAGAAATTGCAGAGGGAGTCTACAAAATGACACTTTAGACTAGAATGCCCTCAAGGGTGGTTCCACCCAGATGGCTAAAAAAATCGATTTCTTTCTTTTTTGAGTTTCTTAACGTATCAACTATGAAGAATATTTTGAGAAAGATTACAGAACGTTGCAGCAAAATCGGATAAAATAAAAAAGAACACGAGAACTATTTGTAAAGAAACAAAAAAATCCTACAGATAAGTAGTTTTCCCGAGCTACTCCTACACTGAAGAATAACTGACTGAAAGTAACGATTCAACAAATTCTTGCTATTATAAGGCTTGGTTCACACTATAGGCCAACGATAAAATCAGATCAGGATCAGTCGCAGTCACGATCAAAAATAAAAAATTCCGTCAATATACAACCGGATACGGGCCGATTCTGTGTGCAAAAAATAAGTCGAAAATATAGAATAAACGTTTTTCATTTGAGACTTTGGTACCCAAAATTAGGGCTCGTTTCGGGTCGGGAATTTTTTTCGGGACACATACTTAAATATACTCGGGTACTCATTGTTTCGCACCCTGATTTTTGATTCGGAACTTGACGCTTAATCTAGTACATAACTTTTTAATTGGTTTTGCACCTTAACTTTAAAGTTGTAATTTTTGAGTGCATTTGGGTAAAAGTAGTTCTAACCAAGGAAAGTATTATGCTCTATAACGTATACAATAGCACTACTTTATTTGAAATTCGCGTGAAGAAAACATAATTGTTCTAAATACATTTTATGGTATCAGTTTCGTTCTAGTGGCTGTAACAATGTTGTCAGCATCAGAAAATAGCAGCTCGCTACGTACCTGAGTAGCAGAAATATCGGGGTACTGTTTTGCAATGCTGCTAATAATGGAAATCGTATTGCATTACACTTCCTATAATTCCTGAGTAACAATATAATGTATTGTACAGTGACCCACGAAAGTATTCGAACGCTTGCAGTCCAAAACATTAACTATTAAAAATATGTGTGTTAGAGTTGAGTTCTAAAAATAATATTGAAAATACTATTAGGTAGAAGTAACAAGATTACGTATGTAAAATATGAAGTGATTCAGATATAATGTTTGTAGCAGTTATTGAAACCGCGTACTAAAGTAGGATCACAAAAGTATTCGAACAGGTAGCGGTCAAGCTCTTAAAAATGTTTAGGCAGAAAATGTAAAGAATATCAAGTTCAGTTCATGCAGACGCATCATGTAGTGTGTTTCTTTCAGTACTGCGGGAAATATTCATCTATACAGTGACAATGAGTTCTAAGAGGTCAGAGATAAAAATATGTGAAAAACAATTAATATTAAAATTATATAATGACGGAAAATCACATAGATAAATTACCAAATCTGTAGGAAGATGTCTTTCCGTGGTGCATTACATAATTAAAAAAATCAAAAACTGGAAAAATAATTGTAAACAAACACCGTACAGGTCCACTGAAAAAATTAACTGACAGAGAGGAAAAGCTGATAATACGTGAAATATAAAAGAACCCACATACTTTGGGTGTAAAACTTGCACGAACTGTTGCCAATAACTTTCAAAAAGATGTTCATTTTGAATTATGTACAAGAATATTACGAAATAATAATTTTCATGACCAAATTGCACGGAAAAAGCCATTCATTATAATCAAAGCGCATCAAGCGAAATGTTTTAAGTTTGCGAAAAAGTACGTGAAAAATGATAATTTTTTGTTAAATAAAGTAATTTTCGACTAAAATGAAGACTACAAATTCCGAGGTGAATATTAAAAAACTACGCCCGACCGTAAAACATGGCGATGGTTGTGTGATGTTGTGGAGGCATATGATCGCGAATGGCACGGAAAATATGGGTTTCACAGACGATATTTTAGATAAATACAAGTATCCAAATGTTTGAAAAAGTAATGTAAAAGAAAGTGGACGAAAATTGTGGTTATTAGGAAGTTTTTGCTTCCAACAAGACTGTGACTCAAATATACGGCCAGAACTGTACAGAAATGGCCACTGTACAACATGCCATATATTTTACATAGACCCCCACAAAGTTCGAATATTAATCCGATTGAACACTTGTGACTGGAAATCTTGAGAAAATTGGAGGAACGTGAAATAACTCCAAAAGAGGTATTAAAACAACAAATTATTCAAGTATGGAACTCTATTGAAACCGAAGAACTGAAGAGCTAGTGCTCAGTACGCCACAACGACTGAGAATCTTAATTGAAGCCAAAGGAGGTATAATTATTAATATCGTTCGAATACTTCTGTGACCCTGTTTCAGTACATTTTCCCAATGTTTGCTTAATAACTTCTACAAATATTATCCGATTCACTTAAACTTTTACATTTGCAAGCTTGATACTTCTGCCTAATAGTATTTTCAATATTACTTATAGAATTCAATTATAACATGCATATTTTTAATAATTAATGTTTCAAATGCAAGCGTGCAAATACTTTTGTGAGCCAATGCGGATAAGATAAAATAAAATAATATTATTTCACACATTATATCATGTGTGTGTTAGTAAAATTTAAACTTAAAAGCTTAAGTACAAAACTAGATGAAAAAATTATTCGATTGCAACTCGAGACCCGAAATATATTTTTTTACCGGAATATATTTGTGTCGAGAAACTTTCGAGATCTTAGTCGACCCGCCGCGAGGCTCGATACCCTGTAATTTCGAGTATCCGCACACCTTTGCCGACGATCAATTTTTTATTTCACTTGACTGTACCGCCAACTGTGAATGCTTTCGTTGGATTATATAATGTGTTATTTGCATTGACAACGGTCATGACCGGCTCTGATTTGACTTGATCTGGCAATACTATTGACCGATTGTGTAAATCTGGTATTGAAAGAATGCCTTAAAACTTCTTTCGCGATATTCTCGAAATCATGTTTCTCATACTGGTGGGCACGAGATCTACTAAACTACACGTTCGATTTTCGCAGTATATCAATCATTTAATTTTTTATAAATATTTGTAAATAATTTTTTTTGTTTAGCGTTAAAAATAAGCTTTTGCAGTTCAAACTGTTACCATTTCCGTAATAATTAAAATTGTTGAAAATTTCCACGTTATGTTGTAGATATATGTTGTAGATTTCTACTAACAGTGGATGATTTTGTCATATCATTTCATAAGTAAATTGACCTAGTAATAAGTTTCTATTGACTTCTAGTGAAAAGAATTATTACTTGGGTTGTTTTTTAATCGTCAACGTATTGGCCATCAATGTGTATAACCCGTCCTCATTTTTCGATTAATTTTTTTATGTAATTCCGGAAATTAAATTAAATTAAATTAATTAAGAAATATCTTACAAAGTAAGATAAGGGACGACATTACTTATGGAATGACTTAATAAAAGAGAAGTTTCATAGCTAATAAATAACTTCATCATTTTGCGACATTTTGGCTTAAAAGTAATATGTATAGTCATAAAGCTGAAGATCACACTCATGTACCTAGGAAACATCAGACTTTTACAGTGAATAGTTATCAATAAAAAAACTCCCAAAGTTTATCTATTTTCAGACGTTCAGAGTAGTCTGCCCTCTTACAGAAGGAGGAACATAACATTATTAGACGTCTAATTCAAAGAACCCCTTGCTGTGATGACTTAAAAACAAAACGATATTCTATTTTTCTGAATGAAAATGTTCAAAATGATCATGATTTTGACTGAGAAAAGTTTATAATAGCTTTTATTGACTTAATTCCAGTAGCTCAAACTATAACAAATATTTATACAGTTTCAGCCAAATCTCATAATTGATTTTTGAGACACCGTGTTAGCCAATTAAAATAACATTAATATTTAAAAAAAGCGCGTTCCAAATGCCGGACAATCTTTCAAATATTTCATTCTAGCAAAAAGCAAAATATGATATTAAAGACT